GTGGGACCAATAACCGATCCTTGCGGTACCCCACACGTAACTGCTATTTTTCCTTTACCTCTACAAGTAGAGACCTATCTTGTATGTAGCTGGCTATTATATTATATAGATATGGCTCCATTCCTTTGTTGTGCAGTTCTTCGAGTATTCTTTTCCATGGTGCCGAGTTAAAGGCATTTTGCACATCTACGGTTATCAGTAGGCATAATTTTCTGCGATTCTTTTGGCTTGCTTCATCCGCGATACTCTGAACTCTTTTTATTGCATTAATTGTGGACCTTTTCTCCCTGAAACCATATTGTTATGGGGCTAAATCACCCCATTTCTCTATTTTAGATTTTAGTCTGATAAGAATTAGTTGTTATAGCAGCTTCGCCAATACATTCAGTACACAGATGGGCCTATACGATTTGGGATCCTGTCTTGGTTTTTTCTTGTCTATTAACACCAATCTTGCCGTCTTCCATTCTATTGGAAATTCTTCTATGATTTATATCCCATTTACTGCTTCCAGGCATTTTTAAGGGTGGCTCTGCATATTATTGTCTTCGCTAGTTCTGCCGGGATTCCATCTAGCCCTGGTGCTTTCCTTTTCTTTCAGTCGTTCATTTGCCTTTAGTAGTTCTTCTTCTGTAAATCTTGGTATTTCCTCTACCTCTATCGGCATCCTACCCCACTCCCTTACTTGATGATCCGGAAACAGTGCCTTCGAAACTTCTAGCTGTTGTTCATCAGTCATAGAAATCGGATTATTAAACTGCAGCTTTTGTGTAACATTCTGATAGTCTTTACCCCACACATCTGCATCCACTTCGACTATAATTTTTTTCCAGCTTTGTCTCTTGGAAGATATAGAATATATAAAGTGGCGTGAGGTTTAATAGTACCTCCATTGCTGCAGATGGTGTAGTACGCATGGCCTCGGTGAATAACCATATGGTTATTTTGTGGCTTTAACCCCAGTTTTTTCCGCATATTTTACAGCTTACAAGAACTATTTTTTGAGAAGTTAAATCCATGCCAGCCTTTGATTTAATATGACTTATTTAGCTTTCGTCACAAATGAAATAACTATGTTGTTAAGTACCAGTGGTATTATTCTTGTAAGTGTCCACTTTTAATGGTATAACTTTTGTTTTTTGCATTAATGAAAAATTGCATTTTTTCCCCAATTGTTCAGTATTTAAAGCTGTTTGAGATCGCTCTTAGACTGTGCCTATAAATCGCCCCCTGACGCTGAATGCTAGATCGTGTGCGTATCCTAAGCATTGGTTGTCTTTTTTGTAAAGTGTGTTGAATAAGTTGTTCATTAGAACTGTCCACGGCATTGGAGATAGTATTCCCCGTGTAACTTTTGCCTCTAGGCTTGCAGTAATCCATTGGGGGATATTGTAATGTTTGTCTGTCGTAGAGCCTTGTAATGGACCTGATTAAGACAATATTCACAGATCCTTTGATATCTAAGAAGGTGGCTTTGTAGACTTTGAAAGCAGCCTGTTTAGATCGTCCAGCGCTAGCGTTTTCAGTTAGGAGAAGGGAGTTTGATTTTTGACCCTACCTACTTTAATAATAATAATAATAATAATACGCTCCCAAATTCACCCTCTTACCAGTGGATTTCAATCCCTAAAGCTGACTAAGCTTATGTGGTGAAGGTACGGCTATTATTATTATTTGCCGTGGCGCTTCAGGACGATTTAAAGGTAAGATAGACTTATTTAGATATATGTCTAGGTATTACGTGCTCTAAAGATTTTTAATAGATGTAATATTAATACAGCCTTACTACTTCAGAAATTACGTGCTTTATAATATTACCTTTATCCGGAAAAATTTGCAGAAGTTGATATTTGGCGATTTGATGTATTTTTAACTGCTACTCTTGATTTTTTATTTTGCCACCTCGTAATTTTGCCGCCGTCGCCGTCATATTGTAATAAATCTTGAAAAAATAAGTTTGTTCAAGATATTTTGTTACTAGTTGCTTTTACAGCAAAAATGGCTCCAGTTCTTATTGCAGAATAGGAGAATGTTGGGAAAACTAATCCATTAATTAATTTTTTTACATCATTGTTATCACGATTAATCTGGGAACTTTTCAATTTAACATGGTGTTCCGAAGTGCTAAACTCTATATTGCAAAAATTTTAAACCGCGGCACAGATATTGTGCAAGAATTACATTCCCATAGTCCACTTAGAAAGTACACCCTCCTGGACTCCCCGCCCACTAGTTAGTCTACTCACTGTTGTCATCGTTCGCACTAATATTTTCCCCATAACCATGTCTGACCAAGTGCCACACAAAAATTTGCCAGAACGTTTAATTGTGAAGCGTCCTCCATCTGTAAAAAACCTGTATTCTGTAGGATTCATCTTTTCTTTCAAACTATACATATCCTGTAAATATAAATGGCCACATTTAGCGTACAAAAAAATTATCACTGGCATAAAAATAGTGCAACATTTGCTGGATACTATTAAGATAAAGGTCCCAGTTTCCGCTTCTTTCATGGGGTTGCCAGACGTCACGCTTTTGGTGTGGCAGCCACGCTTTTTGACTTGCCTGTACGCTTTTTATGCAAATTCCATGCTTTTTAAAAGCCGCAGGGGAATCGGATTCATATAAAAATATACCGGGTAAAAGACCCTCGTTTGTACGAAAAATAAGTGGAGGACCTTTTTTTTAGAAATGGTGACTAAAAATGGACCCGATCACATAAAAATGCGCTATGGTCACGGTTGCCATGCTTTTCATTCCCGAATATGTGGCAACCCTATTCTTTCGGCCTCAATAAATTAATACAATGCGATACCATGCGAAATTAATGTTCAAATTTTGAAGCTAATTCTTTGACGCATTCTTCTTGTTCTGCTCCAAGTATTACCGACTTTTTGAAATCGCATAAAATTGCTTCTAGTCCTGCGTATTAGACTGGTGATAAATCAATTTCCTGCATGATCAATTTTGCAAGATGGACACATGTGCTCTGTACGGACAAGAGTATGCATGACCTGCATTGGGATTTTCATCTTTCAATACGTTGAGACGACAATTTTTGTTCCATAGAATGCGATTCTTATGTAATGTCTCTCTCTATTTGATTTATTACGTGTTGAGTTGGCACATAAGAATCCCTGTCCAGATAACATCTTTTCAAGTGAATTCGTTGCAAAAATTGTACTTAGAAGCTCGGTTAATCCACTACCATTCATAATATACCCTATAGCTCTGATGAACGTCCTCAACAAATGAAAGCCTCCTAATCGTATAACGGCATTTCTCAATTTTGCTTCCATGCCACTCGAACACAGACAATTTGTTTTGCTTTAAAATACAGTGGCTGATCAAAAGTGATGAAAAATGTTTGCTGCCTTTTCTCAGAGGCTGATGTTAAAACAGTAAAAATCGTGTTGGAGTCAGTCGGTGGTGTATTAATGAAAGGCAAACAAGCTACAAAAGATTTCTGATATGAATGGTTTACTGTCACTTCTTCCATAAATCCATTCCATCCAGGTATATTGGGCAAATAAGCCCATTTCCCATAAAGCCACAGCAGATCTAAAGTTGACGACATATTTGAATTTGCGACTGAAGAAATAGTACGGAGATCTAAAATAGGAATTCCCTGTAGACTGGAAAAGTTTATCTTCTCTTAGCTTAGTAATGCAATGCTACCAGAATTTTCGACGTACTGAGCTGACGACATATTTGTGATCAGGAGCAATGGCACTTGCGGGCCTTATACAATGGATGACTCCCATGACATGACAAGTGTTTCTACCATCCAAGGTTTGAGTATTAAAGTCCGCATTGTCAAAAGCTAACTGAAAAGCAATCTTATCAATACCCAAAGGAGAACACATCAAAGCCGAAACCTCAAAAAGTGTTGCTCCATGTACGAGGAACAAAATCCTAGTGAAGCCAAGGTGTCAATCAACTTACGAGATCCGAGCGGTAGACTTAATGAATAAAATTCGTATTGCTTTGCACGCTGCGTACTTGCTCAACTTTGTAATTCTCGTACACGAAAATGGTTGGTTTTAAGAAAAGAATGATAAAACCTATCTGGTAGAGAAAATTATGTAGTTTAATTTACTATATAATCATTTTTACTGCAAAAGCAACGAGTAACGAGATATTTAAAAATTTTTTTTTTTACAATTTATTGCGATATGGCGGCGATAGCGGCAAAGATACGAGGTGGCGAAATACAAATTCAGAAAAAACAGCTTACAATTTACGAAGTTACTGGACTATACCATTTTGGAGCAGAATTGGATATGTTCTATCCGGCCCATGGGTATTGTACGGCTTGAATTAGTTGATCGCCCAACTAATCCCGCGTAGTCATATGATCTCAGTCTAGTGGAGTTGGTTTGATTTTCTTTTGACTGTAGTTTTATTGGTCTCCTAAGTCTAGAAATGTTAGGATTGTTGAGGCTGGAAAGAGTTCCTGAGTTAGTAACTTCAGATTTTTTTTTAGTGTCGTAGTAAAGGTATTATCCTCATTTTTGAGGAATCCGATTTGGATAGATCTACTGTCTTTGGCTATATCTCTTTGGAGTCTAGCTCTTTTAGGTGCTCTTTGTACCTTTTTTCAGAATTGAGTTTCTTTTAGCCTCGCGTGCTTCTTCGTTGTATTCTGTGAGCTTGTTTTTATAAGTAGTTAAGTGTTGCGTGGATTTGGCTTTGTTGAAATGCCATTCCACCTCGCCTTTGGGGCTATTAAAGTGTTTATTGTACCTTTTTCGTTTTGCATCTTTTTTAAACAGAAATTTAAAAATTTTGACAATGACGCCAAAACTTTAATATATACTTTGGCTACCTGGAGATTTTCTGTGTCAATATTATACATAATTAACATTATTTAAAAAAAATATATTTTATCAACCATGCTAAAGACGTAAAATAAACGTCGATAAATTACAAGGAGTTAACGTTTCTTATTGACACGTCCTCTTTCCACTAAACTTATCCACATATATTTATTATTCTAGGAGCAAATATAATGAGAAAATTTATTCAAAATCGCTCAGTTCCAGACTTACAGCACAAATACTCTTGGTACGAGACTCTGAGCAACGATATTTGCACTGCTCAGTTCACTGTCTACGCAAGAGTACCGGAACCTGGCTGGATATTTATCGCTAGGTATATCTTTTCCGTTCGCACCTCGTATCCTTTGAACATCCGAATCAACATTTTCTCCAACTTAACCCAATACTACATCAGGGTCTTCGACAACGATACGTCAGAAGAAATGAAATGTATTATAAATAATGTTGCGGTGAACAAATATTCGCCAAATAATGGTGGCTATACAGTCGTAGCTTATGGATGGGCTACCGATCAGCTTTATATGAACTCAAAAATTATCTTTGCCTGCCCTCAGGATGACATTGAAAATTTGTTGTCGTTTTCTACAAAAGCTTCTAGAAAAGACACTATATCACACTGTTATATACCTAATACCATGAATCTCTTATTCAGGTAAGTTTTAAAATTAATTCGAAATGGGTTTATTGCAGGTCGCGATTTACAATACGACAGATAAAACATTTATTGTCGAAGTTGTGCATTTAGAAACATTGCCAAATTATAAATACCATAAAAAAGGGCTACTTGATATAATTGTTAGATATATTATGTGCTTAATAATACTTTCATCCTTTTTGGATCATATTCTGTTAAACTCACATATTATGGTTAAAGGAGATATGAAACGGGTATTTTTCCCGATGGGTGTTGCAATATAAGCAGGGGAAGCTGTTGTACCTCGGAACACATTTTAGGTTTTCATTTTTAAAAATTCAAATTTTAAGATTTGCAACTTAGGTTTTAATTCTAGAGTGTAGGCAGAATATTTTTTTAAGTCTTGCTTTACTTTTATACACTTCACTTTTAAATTGAAGTCAACACATTTTTAATTAAAAATTTTAAATTTGTTTCAAGGTACACGAACGTTCATGTACCTCGAAACATTGTGAAAAAAATTAATAATACTTAGTCAAAAAAACTTAAATATTTTATTAAATTTTAATTAAAAAATACAACATTCGCATAATATTATTTGGTGTTGAACTTTTGAACATTTTTTGTTCTTGCAGTGCCAATTGTATTTATGCAAGATAACTTCACTATGTCTCCAATGTCAATAGATCCTATATCTGGTACAGATGGATAATAAAATGTCTGAGGCGATCTTTTTCGTTAGAAACTCAGGGAAAATTCAGTTGTAGAAAGGTATTCTTGTATACAACCCACATAATAAATAACTTCAGTTTTTCCTTTAAAAGAGACGAGCACAAAATCTCCAACTGCCACGTCGTCTGATGTTAGCGGTTCTAGATCCATGTCACTATCGCCTTCATTATCTGAAGAGGCTGATAAAATATCATTAAGCGTCTTTCCTTCAACATCACTTTCCTCGTCATAGATAACTGCTTCGTCACTGCTATTGCTGTTCAAGCGTCTCTTAAACAACTTTTTGGTTACCTGCTTCCTCTTCTGTTCAAACAACTTTTTATTTTTATTGTTTTCCTTTTCTTCTTTTACTTTCTTTTTTATTAGAAGTTTCTCTCTTTCTGGGATATCGGTTAATATTTTAGTGGTCAAACAGGCTCTTTTTATTTTCCATTGGGTTGTTGCTTTTGGAAACGGCCTAACTTCTTGTAGAGATATGAACGTCACAAGGTCTGACTGCTCAGGGGATTTAAATGCATCTGGTCTTGATGAAGGCCCCGCGATCGCTATGTCTTCGGCAGCTGTTACATTATGTAATTCTGATGAAGATCCTGCAACTGCTGTACTTTTAGTATCCAGCATTGGTCTATCCGTTACCGAAGAAGGTAAGAACAGATCTTCATCAAAAATTCCTATATTTAGAGGATAGATCCCAGTATTTTCAAATCCGCTACAAATGTTAGTTGTTGAAAAAGCTCGAGGAAAAGCAGATCCGACTATTTTAGCAACAATATAAATTGAGAATGTCTTTCCGTTATTGTTATTATGCCATGCATCCAAACCTTGATTGTAGAAAGTTTTAAACGGACCAAAAACGCTAACATCTAGTGGCTGTAAGCGATAGCTGGTATGGGAAGGGAAAGTAACTATCTTGATACCATTTTTTGAAGTCATATCGATCGCATCATATAAACAGTGTGTTTCATGATTATGTCCATGATTAAAATCACTGGTTCATCTTTAAAGGGCTTTACATATTAAGTGAAATGTTCACATTTACATTTTAGAAATTTTTCATCATTTGACCAACCCGAAGGGTTTGCCAAATCGATGCTACCAGGTGGTTCTCCGCTTAACATATATTCCTTAAAATTTACCCTTGGAAAAATAAAGAAAGGTGGTATGTGATTTCCAGTAGCACTTATTGCACATATTAAAGTGATTAGTTTGCCTCGTTCAGCTGATGTCGTGCTCCCTATTTGCTTTATACCTCTGGGTGCCACGATTCTTGATGGTGCCTGAAGAGTGGTGTAACCTGTTTCGTCCATATTCCATATTCTTTCAGGGGGGATAATTTTAAATCGCTTGTGAACGTCTTCTATGTTGGAAAAAAACTTGTAAACGTTGGATTTATTAAAGCTAGTTGCTCTAGCTAAACTTGTCGCCTCTGGTTTCTTAATCGATAACTTTGCCTGATGCCGTTTCATAAAATGAGGTATCCACTCTTTTCCTTCTAATTTTTCCTGTTCCCAATTTACGGGAATTTTATTTCTATTTGCTATGGCATAAGTGAATGCAAGTTCTCGCACACCTTTTTTAGTTAGACTATAATGCATTTCTGCAACAGTACTGATATAGTCTACTAAGCTGTTTTCTTCTTCTGAAGAGAAAACTTTCTGTGCGTCCAAATTACATTTGTATGTAAATTCTTCTCCGTCACTATTACGGTGTGCTCGAAGATGTGATAGTGTAGCAACTGACACTTTAAAGACCTTAGCAGCTTCTCTCAAAGAAATGTTTTCTTCTTGATCCCGAGTGACTGCTAATATAGCTTGCTTAAGGTTTTCGGTGTTAACTGGTAGTCGTTTTACTTCTGCTTTACTTCTTGGCATTAGCAAACCTGACACAACGTATTGAATTAGCAATGAAGATTATTATCAATCCTAAATTACTTGCTTATTGAATTATATAGTGTTTCAAGGTACACGATGGATGGTGTTTCAAGGTACAAGAGATGACTCCATTTTATAAATTGTTTTTATATTCTCTCCAGAACCATGATAATAAATTGTAAACCTACTGAATACACCAAAAAATGGTTGTAATTTTAAATGTAGAAAAATGAAATATTTACCTTGTGCCGTCTAGAAGTAATATGCCATTATTTCACTTTTAATTTTCGAACGAAAATCGCCTAGTTTACAAAACACTAAGTAAACCTACGTGTAACAGACAAAACCACACTGATAAGATAGGTACGATACATGGTGCACTTCTCTGAGAAACATGACCACTAGAGAGCGACACCTACTTTCACAGTTTGAAGTGTTTCAAGGTACACTGTTATCAAGGTACAACAGTTTCCCCCATACCATGTAGGTCGCCATGTTTACAATTTAAGAGACTGACTTGGTTGCGCAGTTGCTTTAGTGTTTTGAAAGAAATGTCATTTATGTCAATTTGTCTTGGCTTATTTCGAGATCCGCTGTTTTAGTGAATTTAAAAGAATTTTAGGAGTTTCAATTATAGACAATTAATAATTAATTATAGACAATTAATAAAAAATGGGGAAGAAATGTTTTGTTTCTGGTTGCTTAAACATTGAGGATTTGGAAAACATTGCGTTTCACAAGTAAGGCATCTTTTCTAGCATAACATATTTTTATCACATTTTAGATTCTCTATTTTCTAGAAAACGAAATAAGTCGTAGTACACAACGACAAAGCTATACAAACTGAAATTATATATTATATTTAACGATATGGTTTTATATTTTTTATATTGAGAAAAAAAAAGCGATATTTTTCCCGGTTAAAAGCTATTGGAAGAAATCCATTGGAAAATATAGTCCCAAATAACGCTATTTGTTCCAGCCATTTTCATAAAAATGATGTAATCGTCTCTAAACGAGAAGTTACCATAAAAAATAATTCAATACCTTCTACCAAAAATTGCAATTTTCATAAAAGTAGTGTTATGAGATAAAAATATACATAATATTATTAATTTGTTTCTTGGTATATTTTTAAGATAGCCACTGAAGGATGTGCCTATAATCTCATTATTTTGATTAATTATTCTTATTTTATGCTCAAGTGCATTCCATATTACTGTGAAAGATAATTTAAGTTAATTCGCATTTTTTATATTATTTATATTCCTATATAGTAATTTAAATACCAAATATAACTGTTTTTTATTTGGAAAGGTTTGTTTAAATCACGGGATTTCAGATTTTTTTGCCATAAAATATATAACTGTCTTGGATTGTTTTGTATTTGCCTTAAAATACATAAAAATAAAAATAGAAAAATGCTTTCAATTATTAAGGTTATTGATTAATTAAATCCTGTATATTTTTAAATTATATTTAAATGTCTCGATTCTACCATGTAAACTTTAATGCACAATCGTACGACGCTCTTCTTATTAAAAGATGCTACCATTAATTATTAAACGTGCTTGATGAAATTGACATTTCCTATCTCTATCCATCAGTGGTTAAACTTTAATCCAAATTGCTCACCAAAAATTTAAAGCAAATGAGGGTTTTACTAATTACTTAAACATCAATTTTAATATATTTAGTACACACATAATAAATAGGTACTACATAAATCATTAATTGGTGTATCCACTTTATTATTTTACGTAACCAGAATTACATAATACTAATACATTTGGCAAAGCGGCATAAATCGTTCTTTTTGTCACCAGGTCATGTCACGGCTTATGGTATTTCTGTCCATGGCTCAGATAAATAAATAATAATAATAATGATAAAAAATTTACATTGTGTTTGTTTAAAAGCAACATATGTAAGTCAGTTGATAGGTTGATAGGAGGGAAAGAGCGGGGTTTGTTTCCTTTTATTTTACAGTAGCGTATCAAATAAATGTCAATAGAAATAATATTGATTTAAATTATTTTATTAGGTTTGAGATCTATATGGGATTGATTTATGAGTTGATAGCTTTTGATTTCTTAAAAAAATGTATGTAACTTGAGTTTTATAGGTATATCCAACCTTTTTGAAAATGAAGATTCTCGAATGTCTATTTCTAAATGTCACGCGGTATTAATAAAATGTCGAATAAAAACGCAAAAACGTATTCTGGAATGGCTAATTCGACATTTGTTGTTAGACATAAAGTCGAGTGGTATTCAACCAGTCGACATTGTAATGTCGCATGCCTTTTTAAATATAATGTTATAATATGAATGTCGTGACAGTGACAGTTTATATTTATTTTTAAGAGAAATGAAAATAAGTATTGTACAAATTGTTTTTAAAAATATATCAAAT